ACCGGTTCTGGGCTTCCTGCAACAGCCTTTGTTGCTGTTGCGTACTTGTGCCAAACCAATCCCGGGCGTCCGCGACGAACTCGTCATAACTGAGCCACTGGTACTTGTTGTTATCGTACCAGGTCCTCGCGTTATCTTCGAGGATCTCTGATACGGAACAAAGCACTTCGTCGTCAGTTAGTCCTGCACCTACGCGCAGATCCTCCAACCTCGACAGAAACGTATCTACGCTCTGTGCCCTACTGCCCGCAAACCTCAATTTCCATCCGCGGACAATTTTCCCAACATCTCGGGTTGTAGAGAGCCCTGAGAATATCTGATGTCCGGTGCCAGATGATCCGCTTCGACTCCTCTGTCGAACGGGTGCGGATCTCCCATAAACTTCCGATTCCTCTTCACCTCCTCTTCGTTGGAGGACTTCCGGTGTGGTGACGTCCCTTCTCCTTGGTATTGGTCTTGGAGGAGCCGGTGTACTCCCCGGAATCCCCGAGTCATAGTGACAGGTGTATGTGTCCTGAAAGTCCACATTACGTCCGGAGCGCGGTTGAACCGAGTCACGCTGAGAAGAACGGTTAGCACTGGCCATGTCATGCATTGAGTCTTCCAGCTCTCGAATTCGTATGCGCATGTCCTGCGCCTCGTGCTCCGCACACACCTGTAATCCCTGCAGAGTCTGAAGGGTTTCTAGGATTCGACCTACCAACTTTTGGTTACGGTCTATTCCCTCCTTCAGATACTCTATCTCTCGGAAGGCTTCACTCAAGGATAATTCTTCCTGAGGTTCCTTCCGAGTGCAGGATTCCTGCGACCTGGGGTCCGGATTGCTCCGTCTCTTCTCCCCCTTCTCCTGCTCTTGCGTGCTAAGGGCCTTCTGGATGAGTTCATCCTCTTCTTAGCGGCTGGCTTCACCCTCAGAGCCCTCATCCGGGCAGGTGAATGTCCTTGACATAGCAGTCAATGATATTCCCCCCCTATTGATGATCCTGAGGGGATGGTCGCTGTTATCATCCGCGTTGGAGTTTTCCAACTCGTCACAGACTGTGTCGAGCCACGCTTGTCGGGATCGCCTCCTGCGCCCCGCTACCTCTTTGCTGTGCGTGGTCTCTTGAAAATCTGTGGCGGTGTACTCACCCAGCAACCATCTCCCAAGCCTAGCCGCCTGTTGGATGACACTTCCATCCTTGCGCAGCTCCAAATCCTCTAAATAATGTTCGCGCTGTGCGGAGGTCAGCTCTAATGCCCAATTGTCGATTTGAGCTGACAACAGAGCCATCTTGCCTCCGCACGGGTGTAGGATGCGGTTGAGGTTTAAAATTTCGGGCTAATCGACCACTACCGCTTCCTATCACCCAAGGTATGAGCGGGGTGTACACTATTTAGTGTTACTACTTTTAATGCCTCCTTTTATAAGGCCTTTTAAAAGGAGATTATGAGCCCGTGCAGTCTCCGCAAACTTTCTATAAATATTATAAAAATATCCTACCTAAGGTCGGAGCCTGCTGTTTGCTTGCTCCGCCTGGCTAATATTTGGACTGCACGCTTGGGTCGCGCTCTCTGCTTTATCGTTGATCAGGTGTTACCAACCCCCCTTTATCCACCAAACTGTGGCTGAAATGGGTTAACACCTGATTCTCCCGTACGATCTGAAATCACTTCGACCTACCAATAATTATCGCTTTCGGCCCTTTTTACAATAATCTTAACAATTTTTAACCAAAGGTTCGAAGTGGTTTCGTTTTTTCCCCAGCAGAGGGCGTACCGCTCACGATCTCGCTCTACCACCCGCTCAAACCTTCCTAAGCGCTCGCGCAATCGTCTCTCTCTCTCGTGCGTCGATTACCTTCGACGCACTATCCTATTCGTACGACACGGGTCTTAATACCAGTTGGGCGCCATGTAACGGGGGGAATAAACCTGCAAAATGAGAAATTTATTTAAGAGCAAACACCCACGATGCAGAGCAAACCGCCGCTCCGTTAACACGTATGTTAATACGTGTATTCGCCTTAACGTCAGCTGACTTAACTTGGTTGTCTTCGATCAAGCGGAGTTGAACTCACCTTAAGTCACGTGCCTTGTGACACACGATAAGTTTCAAGTGTAAGCGACTTTACTCCAGATCCACTTAATACCCTAGCTATAATAGGATTAAAACCTAAGCTTTTTCTAATTGTTTAAACTACTAGGAAAAATCATATGACGAAATCGGCGAATAATTTTAATAGATTTTATTAATAAAAATTACTACAGTCTTTGTCGGGCCGAAAGACTGACGCACGCGAATGGGATTTACAATCGAATAACTTTCGGTGAGAAAGAGAGAGAGAGAGAAGATACGAATATTGGCGCGATCTAACGCTCGGCGCGAATACAAAATTATCAACGCTAACGCGGTTGAACAAAATAATAAATGTATTTTGTCACGCGATAATTAAGGTAGGTGCACCTACCCTGCGGTGCAATTACGGTGATCAGCCGTAATTGTTGAAGCAAATTAAAGGTGCTCCTCTGATCCAAATCAGCTGTGCTGCCTTGATCGCAAATCCGCTGTTTAATAGCTGTCGCTTATGCTGCTGCTTTTGTGATGCTGCTACTATTGCTGCTTCCTCGCTCACCCTTGCACACGTATCCAAAATCCAAATAAACTATTTATTGGCAAATCGGTGAAACAATGTGCAAAACTATTTTGGCGGTACTACACACGTAACAGCTGAGACGTAACTGCTAATTTATAAGATCGCGCGCCCCCTCTCTCTCTCAATACTTAGAACTAATGCGCGAAAATCAGAATCGCGAACGGTTCGATTAATTGAATCGACTACCGTTGCAACGTATATAAATAATAATAAATGAAGACGATCCAGATAAGCATATTGCGTTCTGTGAAAGACTAATGAACAAAATAATTGCTGAAAAGATTTTCTCAATTACATTATTTTTTCTGGTGAAGCTACTTTTGAGCTGAACGATAGTGTCAATAAACGCAATATGAGGCATTGAGGAGCGAAAAGAATCCATATTGGATGATTGACAGTCGTAGCGTTCAATATCCTTAAAAAGTTTATATTTGGAGAGGGATTATTTATAACAGAATTGTTAGACCATCTTTTATTAAAGGAAATTTTACTGCTATAAAATATGAGAACATGTTAAAAGTTCAAATAGTCCCTGCTATTCAGGAAATTGTAGGAGATACTTTTTAAAATACCTGGTTGCTACAAGATGGTGTTGCTCCGCATTATGGACGCAATGTTCGTATATACTTAAATACCATGTTTTTTAAAAAAATGAATTGGACAAAGAGGTAAGATCAAATGGCCAACGAGATGTCCCAATTTCACCCCACTTGATTTTTTCTTGTAAAGATATTTAAAAGACAGAATATATCAAACGAAACCAGCAAACATAGAATAATTAAAAGGAAATATCTCACATAAAATAGAAATACTCGAGCCAGCATTTATTGTAACGGTCCTATTTATGAGCTCCTGGACCATTTTCTCGGTTTTTCACTAAATCATGAAAACCCGCCAAACTCGCGAATCTATACCTATTAATTAGTATAGAGAATGGCGCCATCTCAAGTATTATATGATTATGTTAGGGTCATAATTAAATTTCATAACCATATAAGGAGCGTGATGTTAATCTACTCATAGATATAGATATACTGATTTTTATTGTTCAATTAAAATACATTAACGATAGTAACTTCAATGAACTAAAGTATTTTTTATGTTAATTTTAGTGCATAGATTAGAATTATGTTTTCAAGTTTTAATGTACAAATTTCATTTATTTATAATTTTGAGAATATTAATTATTGTAAGAAAGCGAATACTCTGAATTCGAGATGAAAATCTTAGGAATATGAATAGGAATTCGTTTCATTGATAACAACTTAGTTACGATTATTATCAATAAGTAAAACATTAATAATTTAAACAAATAAAATAAGATGTATCTAAAGTGTTAATTCTGTATATACTAACAAAATTGTTAGAACTGATTAAATAGATGATTAAATAGATGATTTTTACATTATAATATTTGGCCAAAAGTAAAAATTAATTATTATTCAAATATTATTAAACAATTTAAGTATTTCTTATTTATAATTATTTCTACAAGCAATAAGTTATCTTTGTAAGTTTTATAAGTTTATTTTTTTATTGTAAGTTTTACGCTATTAAATTCACTAACTTTATTCGTTAATAACTGTATCTACGATTTTTACAACAATTACGAATTACGCCTAAATTACATATATTACACTCTTTATTTTTTACACTATTTAATTTTTCTTCAGCATTATTTTTGTTGTAAATAAGAGAAAATGATCTTGCATATTTATAAAAAGATCGTAAAAAGGGCTATTCTGCGTAATTGACTCCTCAAGATTTGTGTACAAATAGGCTCGATTTTGCACAGACTAAGAAGAATAAAATATCTTTAGAATTAGTTGTAGAATATATGAAAAATTTTTTCCGATTTTTTTGAGCAACTATTTAAATAGATCTTTTGCAAAAATAAAAAAAATTTCTTGAAACGTTTTAAAAAATTACGAGTACCTTCTTCGAGAGATTCTACGAACTTTTTCTCTCTTAGTACTTTTTTCATAACCTCATCGTTATTAAGTAAAAAATTCATTAGTATATTACCAAACATTTTTTTAAACAAGCCGCTATTTTGAACACCCCCAGTTGGAAAATTGATCTGCGAACCATTGATCCTTAATACTCAAATATTTATTCCACCGGTTGATGAGGTTCCAAGTTCATCACGTACAGATATCCTTTTGAAAACTCGATTTATAAAAATGGATGAAGAAATTATTTTTTTTCAAACTGCGTTCTACAATAATAAAAAAATTTTGATATTTCTAACGTTATTTATAAGCTCTCAAAGATCGGAGTACCGTGAGTGGCGTTCTCGATTGAAACAGTTTATTGCATACTTAGCTTTAATATTACAAATAAATATAATCATCCATTCATTACCTGGAGTATATAGGGGTCATCAGGTAAATTTCCCAGCAAATGAGATGAAATATTGACTAATTTATCTGCTTTACGAAGCTTCACTATATCTAGAGGACCCGCGTCTGCAGCATTTCTAAACAGTTCTGTAATATGTAATCATCAATTAACAAAGTTTTCATTCTAAATTCCTAAAATTTTAAGCTATTTTACTCTTAAAAATAGATATTATTGATATATTTAATACATTTTTCAGAAGTATTTATAAAAAAATGTATAACGGGATGGGAAAGAAAAACGTAAATAATTCAACATCAACAAGATTTATTACCGATCCATTGACACACACATACATACGCACACACACATACACACACACACATACACACATATGTATAGGATGGTTATAAAATATTAAAGGAAATTGATATTGCCGGATTTATCTTAAAAAGTTATTTAAGATGCAATTATTATTTTCTCGTTCGATAATGAAATGATTAGATAATTAGCTTCAAAGGTCGACCAATCAGCGTGTGGCTTTGGAAGTATGTGGGATTGGAGGCGAGCGGAATGCGGTGAAAAGAGCTGATATACGCGCGCCACAGTTGAACAAAAACGATGCTCAACTTTCATCCATATCATGAGATTCCTATGCCAAAGAATCAAAATGTAAATTGATTTCACATGAATAATTGTTGATCATGGATAATTTTTTTTCAAATTTTGATGATCCTGTTTACTTGATAGAGGTGCAAGTAAGAAGAGAGGCACAAAGTTAAAATTATTACCTTTGATTCGAAGTCCGAATGATCTTGTTATTTATTTATTTTGTTTTATTAAAAAGAAGGTTTGGATTGACTCTGCATTAATAACCAGAATTCTTTAACTTATTACTTTATTAATAAAATAAGGATTATAATTATAATCATAATTGTCAACCGGCATAAAAAACCCCACTCGTAGGTGGGGGAAAAGCCATTTGGCAATCATAAATATACCAATCCGAATGATATGAATAAACAAAGGCTAAACAAAGAACAGACAAATGTTACAATACAAATACATCAACTTACATTAAGACGCGGTTGAATGGCTACTCAACTTACTGAAACCTACTCCGGTGACTTTTGCATGCGCACAATCGGGCAGGAAGGTATCACCAGGATAATAAAAAAGGCCCTCGGTAGCTCCGACGTCTCAGAAACGGGTCAGCCCTCGCTACCTTGTAGCCGAGAAGAGAGTGGGCAAAGCCGCGTGGTTGGAGGTACCCCAGAGAACACGTCTCGTCCTCTCTCAAGGCAGCAGGCTTTCCTGTCCTTGGACCTCGAAGGGTCACCGGGTTGGTTGCAGCTTCGTAGAAGCTTGAGGTAGAAGCGGGTTCGTGGTCACAACTCACACACTCAAGTTTCACAATTATATCGGCTCGAGAGAAAAGAATGGACGCAAAGCGAGAGCGAAGTAGACTCCTCTATCCTCTCAAGATAACTAGCTGTCACTCTATTAGGTCTGCCGCATTGATAATGCCGAAAACCCCTACTCTCATTAGTGGCTTCAAGCAGGAACCAATGAGAAGCCTTGAAGATGATGCATCTCTCCACCTAGATTTTCGTCTAGCCGACGTCACCGACGGCTAGTTTAGGCCTTTATGACCTCAACGTGTGCAACGTCTGTCATGCGACCGGTGACACATGTAGAGACCTTAGGGATTTTCCATACACGTGTTCAGCTGTTGGTAGAGGGATGCAATGTCCTTACTGATGATCGCAGAGATAGCGCACGAATATTGAGCGCATATATCGCGAACAGATCCGAAATAGTAAAATATAAAAATTGCCATAATGCTCGGAACGATAATGGCTATCTTTTTTATAGTTTTCATGTTATAGTAATTTGTCAAGTTTACGATTAAAAAATTGAAACTGAATTAAAAATTAAAAAAACTTAAATTTGACATGTGAACTTTATACTTTTTTTCTCGAATAATTCGCTTGAACACAGTGAAATATCATCGAAATCGATAGATTTTTTTTTCCAAATACTAATAATGATTTAGCGTACATGTTCAATTGATATAAAAATGATTGTGGCATCAATAATTAATGTTATTTATTTATTCAGTCTGCTCATAGTGTTCGCCCCGTGTGGACACACGTTCACACACTCGGATCGAGCAAGAAAAATTAGTAGCCTATAGAAATACTCTAAATTCTTAAACTATAAACTTCTTTCATTATTCTTTTTCTTTTTGTTTCTTCCTTCGTTAAGAAGAGTAAAATAGAAATTCACTATAAAAAAATACACAAAAGTCGAACAATCATTACACAGTTACAAAAACAGCCGTCATGGCTGCACCTCAAACAGAACTCGAAATCTAGAAGAGCAACTCTACCAGTGCAGAAACCAACGGTGTTGATACCGCCGAATGGAGATCTGTGAAAAGTAAACGAGGAAGAAGTAGTCCAGAAGAGAACAAAATATTCGAGAGAAGGTAGACGTTTTTAAATGGCTACTGGCTTAGTGCGTTGAACAATAAGCCACTGGAGACAAGCAATGCGTTCAACGCATTCAACCAGCACGGTAAAAACGAAGTGACAAACAACACATCTTCTGAAACTGCAATCACCAAAACATTACCAAGGCCATCGCCGATCTTCATAAGTGGCGTAGTAAACGGTATTACTTTAAAAGAATTTTTAAATAAAATAGCAAAAAATAAGTACATTCTAAAATTAATCAGTAACAACGAAATCAAAATTCAAGCCGAACCCCCAGAAAATTTTACTCCTATAGTTAAAGAATTAGAAAATAAAAATACCCTTTTCTATACCTTCCAAAAAAAAGAAAATAAACCATACAAAGTATTTTTTTTTTAAACTTACACCCTTCTGTTAATCTAGATGAATTAAAGGAAGAAATAGAGCAGTATAATCATACAGTAATAAGAATCTCAAATGTTAAATATATAGTAACAAAACAGCCTCTACCCATGTTCTTTGTTGAGTTGAAAATTAGTGAAAACAATAAAAAAATTTATGAAATTTATAAATTACTGAACCAAATAATAAGCTTTAAACCACCATATAAAAAACGGAAAATTCCCCAATGCATGCGTTGCCAAGAATACGGGCATACTAAAAATTATTGTCATAAAATCCCGGCATGTGTCAAATGCGCTGAAAACCATCTCACTTCTAACTGCCCAATAAAAACTAAAATAAAAGAAGTAAAATGTGCAAACTACAGCGAAAACCATGTAGCTAGTTATAAAGGTTGTAAAGCTAGAAAACTCCTCCAACAAAAACTTTTTCCCGCGCTAAGACCAAAGCAACCGACGCAAATTCAAACGCACGAAAATACCGTTCGACCCAACTATAGCTTTACTCAGGCTATACATAATAATAAAAACACTTGAGAAGAAGCCAAACAAACCACGTCACACCAACCTATAGTAAACAATAACAGCCAGCTATAGGAACTATGATGACTCAGCTTATGAGTAGAATGGATACACTGCTTAATCTGCTTACCACGCTTATAAATAAGATAAAATAATTTCAGAATTAAAAATTGCAATATGGAACGCAAACGGTTTAGCTCAAAGAAGTCTTGAACTAAAAACTTTTCTTATTTATTATGATATTAATATAATGCTAATATCTGAGACCCACTCTACGCATAAAAACTTTTTGAAAATTCCACACTATATTATACATAAAACTAACCACTCCGACGGAAAAGCACACAGCGGAACTGCAGTAATAATTAAAGAGACTATTCAACATCACGTAAATGAACCACATATGTACGATTACTTATAAGCAACTAATATAACATTAGAAGATAAAAATAGCTGCATACTCTTAGTATTTTCAGACGTATACTGTCCACCTACAAAAGATATTTTAATAGTTTAAGTCATCGTTATGTGGCAGGGGGTGATTATAATGCGAAATATCTTTGGTGGAGCTCTAGATCGTTCACTCCAAATCCAAAGGGTGTCAAATTGTATTCAGTGATGCAAGAAGAAAACCTTATTCCTATATCAACCGGCGAACCTACCTATTGGCCTTAGGACTTAAATAAATTACCTGATTTAATAGACTTTGCAGTAATTAAATGTATATGCCCATCGCATATTTCAGCAGAATCATGTTTTGAATTAACATCAGATCATTCTCCAATAATTATAAACTATAATCTAAAAGTCAAATTAAACATAAAAAATAGCTTTTTATATACCAAAAACACAAATTGAGATACTTATAGACAGATTCTAAATGAAAAAATAACGTGTGCCGTATCGCTTAAAACTCGGGATGAGGTTGACACTGTGATTGAAACTTTACAACAACATATTTATAAAGCTATTAATATTGCAACCCCCAACCGCATAGCCACTAAATCTGAAATACCTATCTCAAAAAGTGTACTAGAAAAACTAAAAGAAAAAAGAAAGTTAAGGAAAATATGGCAACAGCCCTGCTGAAAAAGTTTTATTGGTTTTCATTTGAAATAATTCATTTTAAGTGATAATGAATGATATTCAATGAAGTAAATGGTTTAATGTTCGAGCGATGATTAAAAGTTAATCATAATCAATGATATTTTATTGCAATAAACATGAATAGTAAAGTTTACCATTAATGTTGATCAGAATAAATAATTTTTAACAAAACTTTATCAATAAAACATTTAATAATATTTTATTGTATAATATTTTATAAATTTTAATAATTATTCCATGAAATTTTACTTAATAGTAATTTATTGAATGTTTTTTTGTAAATTTAAATGTTAATGATATTTTTTTAAATCACTTTTTGTGAATTTCAATGGCTGTGGAATGGAATAGTAATCTATCGCATTTTATTGAATCGTTTCTTATTAGTTTCAATGATTGACGGGCGAAAAAGTGTGTTAATAATATTCTTTTGAATAACTTTTTATGAATTTCAATGGTTATTGAATGGAACAGTAACCTATTGCATTTTATTGAATAGTTTCTTATCAGTTTCAATGGTTGATGGTTAAAGAAGTATGTGAAAAGTATTGTTTTGAATCATTTTTTATAAATTTCAATGTTTGTAGAACGAAAAGAGCGAGAGGTTATTTTTTTTTAATTATAAAAATTTTATTGTTAATAACA